AATCTAATTTAGGCGCCCATAAAGAATTGAATTTGTTAGGTTATTTTTTTACTTTCTTTTAATATATTAAAACCTTTTTGGATGAAACTTCTAATAATTTAATGAATTTTTATTACTGATTTTAAATTCATAAATCTTTTTGTTTTTATTTTTAGAAATAAAGTTAAAACAAAATTTATTTTTATCATTTGGATTTGGACATAAGTCAATCAACTTTGTTTATACAAAAAAATTTGAAAGGTTTGCATATTTTATTCATTTTTTTAATAAATCATTTAGCACTTCGTTTTATTAGAGAGTATAATAATTTTTTTTCTTTCATATTATTTGTTAATTAGCTAAATATATTATCGAATATCACAATTTTTTTATATTTAAGAAATTAAATCTTACTTTGTTTTTCGTTCATAATTCGGTAATTATTTAATTTAATTATTTATCTGAAATGATAAGGTCCCGCAGTGGACTGATCGTTAAGACACGGTTCCCTGTAGATCACCGAAGTCAAGCATCACTGGCTGCGGTCAGTGTGCGGGTGAGTGACCACTTGGATCAGTCTGCGTAGGGACAGAGGGTGTGCGGTATTGGTCCTCGTTAAACTGTTCCACCGTAAAGTGCTCGACTTCGCGTGCAGGTCGTCGAGCTACCGTACTGCAGAGGATCAAAATTGTGATGGCATGTCTTCGGATCATCCTCAGGGATGTTTCCCAGACCGTCGCCAATAGACCATTGTGCAGCTCTAGTGAGACGTAAATGAACTATAATAACTGAAAAGATAATAAGCGTTTTAAAAGCCTTTTTTTTCTAAAATTTATTTAGCACTTTGTTTTAAACATACAAATAATTTTTAACGTTTCATTTAGAAATTGAACATTACGATCGAACTTAATAATTATGTAATTATTTATGCATAATAGAACAAGAAAATATTAATTTGTAAAAAACGTTTAAAAAAAAGTTTTTAACACTTTGTTTTACGCGTATTATGAATTTCTAAACAAACATATCAATAAATATTTTAAGTAAGATTTCTACATTGTAGTCAATTTATTTAATATCTTTCTTAAGCAAAACATATATATCTTCAAATTTATAAATTGATTTAAATCAATCTGAGTATGAAGTTTTGATAGAAATCTGACTTTCTGTGCCTTACAAGTAAATGAAACTCAAAAATACTATATCGCGATACATCGCTATATATAATTTCTAATATCGCCCAGTCCTAGTCCTATGTAGCCAAGATTGCAATGGCAACGTATTCATTTTCTGTTTCACTCTTGGCTACCACGGTTTTTCTAATTTTGTTTTTTACTTTTATTTTCCATTTTTTTTAGATACTTAATAGTTTTTTTTTTCAGGTTACTTTTGTCTCCCTCATTCACGCCCTCTTTATGAGGGCATGAAACATTTGCTTAAAAAAATGAACATGGTAATAAAAATTTACATGTTTAGAGCACTTAAAAATAAGCGCCCATTCTCAAGGCTCGCCAGGCATGAATGATTTAAGGATGAGGATTTTATAAAACTAGTAATTAAAATACTGTATTGCAATAAGATACATAAGATAATGACAGTGGCTTTTAAATTGAAAAAAAAATGAAAATATAAGATTATTCATAACTAATAATTTTTTTTTACTGATAATCTTAAAAGCAATTTTTTAAGCATGTCAAATAATTCTGTTGATAATTGAAGTTTCTAAAGTAGAGTGACGCAATGGAATGACCTCTCTTTCCAGAAATCTAAGTTAAATAGTTACAAAGTCAATTATTTCAAACTAATTAACGTCTCCATTCCACTCGAAATTTTTTGAAAATCTATTTTTTATTTATCGATCCAAAATTCATATATATTCTAGGGTTTACTTCAGAGCATTTTTCGATAGAATTTATTTATTCCCCCCTCCCTTTTTGCTTACTATTACTGAAGTTAAGTAATTTAATGCATAAATAGTATGATCCTAAAATGGGCTATTTTATCACTTTTTCTCAGCCTTCCTGACGCACTAAACAAAGTAAAGGAATCAGTTTAAATAAATAGAAGTTTAATACTGTTCCAAGCAATAAAATGTTTTGTGAAAACAGATATTGATTCCGGGATTAATGAAATCATTGACACTGTTAAATTGAGCATCAATGAAATATTAACATTCTTGTCACCGTACAGCTAAATTTAAAAAGAAAATTACAAATAAAAAATATGCTATAACTATTTGCTGAACACATAAATTACAGCTCTAAAATAAGTTGTAGACCAAAAAATGTCTTAAAATACCTTATTTAAGTATTAAGGTAGGTACTTTATTTACGTCACACTAGAGCTGTACAAAAGGTTATTGGCGATAGTTGAGCACTTTACGGTAGAACAGCTTATAGAGTACATGTACTGAGCATCCTCGCCCCTAAGGAGGCCGGTCAAATTGGTCACCTACCCGCTTACTGCCCTCAGCCAGTGATATTTGACTTCGGTATCATACTGGGAACCGTGTTTTTACAATCAGTCAACTAGGAGACGCGTTTTAGTATTAAGAAAAACCTAAAGTTAAAAAAGAACTATCTTTTGAGATGAGGATTCTAAAAACACCACAATTTTGGAATATTTCAACAATTTTCTATTTTTAGCATTTGTTATTGAACATATAGCACATTTTTCTGATATAACACTACTTTGTAAATTGTACTAAGTTGAGAGATAATATTAACAATTTTTTTAAACTTAATTTTTCAAAATTATCTTTTTCAAAAGAATGGCTAACTTAAAGTTAGCAGGAAAGTTGTCCATTTAAAAAACAATGCAACCTGTTGTATTTTTTGTGTTGCACATATATGCATTTATTTTTCATTACATCAATAAATAAGGAACAATAAAAGCAAACAAAACACAATGAATAATTTATCTTCATTTTTTGAAAAAATAGTTTGCTAAGTAAACAGTCAGCTTTGATTTGAGTAATTTTAAAGCAGCAGAATGTTTTGTAATTTTTTAACAAGTTCATTATCAATAAATATAGGCTTACTTTTAATAAAAACTTGATAATAATTTAAAAACAAGCGTTTAATTAAAACAAAAACCTAAATTAAAATACTTAAAAAAAAATAGATTGGTATATTACTGAAAAAAAAATCTACAAGGTAGCAGAAATGAAAAAATATAATTAAACAGTTGGTAAAATAGTCTTGTAAAACACACACACACATTAAAAAAATTATTTTAAGATTAAGACGACACATAACACATTGAAAAATTTTAAGATGTTTAAAAATTCTGGCACATATTCGACAACTCTATTCTTTTTGTAGTGACATGGAATATAAAAACACGATTTCACATAATCAATGTTAATATTACAATTTTATTCGATACAAGAATATATTTTATATTATAAACTTTTTATCTTCATTTAAGTTGTAATTGCTTGATAACTTTAAAATATATATTGAATACATACTAAAAATAAATTAAAAAAAAAGCAGATTATAACTGCATTTTATCAGATATAAGCTTTCATAAAATTCAAAATTTGCTGAATATAATGTTTTATTATAATCTCTTTGCTAAATTACAGATAAATTTTTAAATGACTTAAAAAGAAACATCGTATTTCACATTTAAAAAAAAGATTAAGATTCGGCTATCCACGGAAAAAATATGAATGAAATTTCATGCTACACATGTGTAAGTCAAGTTCCTCGTAAGTTAACCACATATAAATATTAATAGCCCCATTTAAATATTTCTACATTGTCACCAAATTATTATTTAAAAAATTCATTTTAATCTTTCTCTGCTTCTATAAAATAAAAACAATTGAAACTTCAGATTTCGCAATAGAAAAATATGTAGAGTTATATAGTATAAGAAAGTTTATGCTTCATAATTCAAAATTTTTTAATCCACAATTGAATTAAATAATAATTAAAAATTAATGTTTTTATGAAATTATCTTTAGGGTAAATAGATTTCATGAATAAATAATTTTCTTTTAAAATTGATCAATTAGTTTTAAAGATATGACAACAAATGTAAAAAGTGAAATTAACATTAAGGGAACTAAACTTTCATCTGCTCTCCTCACTAAACTATTAAGGTCACAATTTCCAGATGAAGAATCCAAATATGTAATTAAATATATATATGCTTGTTTATTAAGCAATAAATAATTAGCATATTTAAGGTCACCCCCAAAAACCATTAAAATTGACACTTTGTATCTGAAAACCTGTCCATTAGAATGAGAGTTATCCAGAGTGATATCTTTTTTTCTCCATTGAACACATAAAAATGATCAATCAGTTCAAAATGTTACATAACAAAGAAAAAATTAAACGTCAGCTAGACTTTAAGAACAAAATTACACACACATAGATATATGTATATATATATATTGCATGTATATATATAAATATAAAGTAAAGAGATTTAACATTCAGAATGTTTTTTAAATGTTAAATTTTTTCTCTCTCAATTTTATAGAAAGAACAATGATTTATAACATCAGTTAAATATAGAACCACTGAAGGCACTTCCTTTTGATACTTATTTATACAATATTAAAAATACAAATATACATGGAACAATATAGAATAGAAATGAAATGCCAGTATGCTCTTTATTTAATGATGGCTATAGAAAAAAGCTACAACTTTAAAAAAAATTTCCCTAAAAAAACATTTCTTATTTTAAATTTTTTTAATTAATTAACAAAAAATTTCCATGAAAATAGAGCTTCTCACTAGAAAAAAAATAGAAGTTAATTCGTAATATTCAGTCTCAAAAGAAACAACATCAATAACTGTGTAGGCTAGCCGTTGTAATATTTTTAGTAATAATAAAGGATTATTACCAAAGTTGCAATTAGTTGATAATAATTTAATATTAGAAGGCAAATGGAAAGTTTACAAAGTTGTTTCGTCTGATATTTTGTTTTAATAATTAGTCCAATGCAAGCCATCTAAAAATAAACTCTAAATTACAATCTCTGAAGAACATTCACCATGTTAAACTTTTTGCATCTTTATTCATGTTAAAACAGTAAATCATTAATTTTAAATAAATTATTCTTTATGTTGAGCAATCAAATATTAATATACATTGCAATCAATGAACTTTTTTAGATTTTTTATTACGTTTAATCACTGAAATTAAAACACAAGTTACACATTTTTCAATTGTATAACAGCAAACTTAAACATTAGGTGTCATTATATAAAGGGGGTCATAATAAATTCAGAAATTGACAAATGGTAATTCTTTTCAATATATTTTTGAAAAAAAATATCATGCTCGAGAATTTAGTTAACTATATAACAAATATAGCTATCATAACTAAGTGCAAAAAACAAAATTACCATAAACATTTTTAAAAATAACAAAATAATCTGTTTCTTTAATCACTTATTCCAACACTAATAAACTTAACAGTGTTGTTGTAAAAAAATACTGTTTTTAATACTATGAAGAAAACTTTTTTATGCTAACAAGTGGGATACACCTATTACAACAATAATAAAAATTATTTTTTTAAATTTATAAATCAAAATTTGGAACACACACTGCACATTCCAACTACAGCTCAATAAAATTATTTTTGTACACTCAACACTATAGAATTCAATATTTATATACTGATATAGTAAAAATTCTTTTGTCATACATATATAACATATTTTTATATAATAATTCAATATTTTATTGATAATGAGGGAGAAAATCCCTATACATATCTTTAAAATTTAACTTTAAATAATAAATATTCTTAAATTACAATACAACTCCATCCCATATGTCTTGTCTCTGTTTTGCTTTTAGTTTTTTTCTCTCTGAAAGAAATACCATATTAATATTTACTTGAAGGACAAGACATTATAAATTAATAAAACAATGTGTAAGAATGTAACTAAATAACTTAGTATTCTGATTTAAAACTTACTAAATGGAACAATGCTTCCAGAATAAATTATAATTACAGGCAACTTTTAAAACAAAAAGAACTTTTTTTATTACAATTAGTTATGTATTTGCATGTGCAGTAGATATATAATTACTTTTAGATTTGAGATTTGCAGTAATCACTGTAATTCACAAAATAGCGTTATCAGACATGTAACCCAATTGGAATAAAAAGTACTGAAATGCACATCTGCCAACTTATTTCTCAGAATGATTCTCCAAAGTAGAAGAGAAATTAGAATTGAACATTCAATTGTAGGCAGATATATTTTTATAATTTGTTAGAGCTTCAGCACACTGCTGTGTGATTATCATGCATTTATATACATGTTCAATTTATTTATGTGCACTGGTGGTTAAAATCACTCTAAATTAAATTTACAAATTCAAGAATGAAATAGAACAGCATATGTTTTGCAATCAATTTAAATATAAAATCTTCAGAAAACTTCTGAAGAATTGGCAATGATGAAAATTTTTATCAGCATTTATTTTACTAATTAGCACATAAAAAGGAACTGAAAACACATTTAAAAAAGATTGAATTCAGCAAAAATACTGAAACATCACACACCTGTGTTACAATAAGACTGTTGTCAAACATTACACGAAAACACAGAAAATGTAATAGTACAAAAATCAAAACATTTTTGCACATATTTGTTTTATAACTACCAGCATACTTATTTCACTAAATTGTAAGGCATGAATAGATTAAGATCACAGGTAATATTTACTACAATTTGACTGTTTCAATTATGTTTAAGAGAAAAAAGTAATTATTATTCACAGCTAAGAATAAGAATTTTGCTAATTTAGTTAACAAAACTAAAGTCATTTATTCACTAATTTTATTAAGATTGATAGTAAAATCTAATACCAGGTAGATTTTATCTTCATAGAAAGAATATGCAGGGATGTAATTTGTTATGGTTTTACAAGATTTTTTTGATTTTAAATAAAGTTAATAATTTTAAAATAAGAATTCACCTTTAGCTTCTTTTAACATATTTCTTTCCAGGGCTCGTTGCTCCTTTGAAGTTTTATCTTTCAAACCCAATGCACCAGAAACAAGACGACGGGCTAAAACAGCAGAAGTAGCAGGTCTTGGTCTGCAAGGTTCAAGCTGACCTAATAAATTAAAAAGAAATTTTGACAGACTATTAGCTGCTAATACATGAATCTGAGGTAATTAAAATATTAAGATATGTTATTAGCCTGACTTCTTTCATAACCGAAGACTAAAATTACAAATTTGGTGTAAACGATTAGGATCATATATTGCTGGCTCTGGTGATTTAAAATACCTTAACAATCATTCCTGCGGGTGGCTAGGAAGGCTCATGCAAAGCAAATTCATGTACTGTTAAAAGAAAGTTAGTTACCATGACCATTAAAAAATAGAGCTCTAAAAGGCAGGGCTAGATGAAGGCTGGGTAATGGGTGTATTACTACAGAAGCGTTTTGCTTTTTTTTTTCTTGCTTTACCATTGTGAGTTTTTTATGCAATCTACATGCACATTGTCTGAATAATATGACATACTTATACTTAAATTTTTATTTTATTTTTGCATCTTTCTTTGTATATTTACAAAATATTTTGTAATAAACTGGATTTCCAGTTTTAAATGTCAAAAAATAACTTGGAATTCTAGAGTAGCTCTAGAGAAATTTCACCTCTGTATCAGTTTGGACTTGAACATTTAGACTAGTTTATACGTTAGCATACCTGCCAACATTGAAAAAATAAAATAATGGAGATTTTCTAGCGACATTTTTTTAAGGCTATGAGTTTGATTCATCATGCATAATCATGTAAGTCAAAAAGAGACAAATTTAAAATTGGAAACTATCTAAGCACTTACATTTAGATTACATTACATTAAAACGATGTGGAAAGAAGCTCACCCAAAAGTGATTTTTGAATAAAATGTTAATAGTCTCTTTTCACATCTAAAGTTTAAGTGCCGTTATAACATCATACTACTTGAAAATATTAGCACTTATAAAACCATGTGGAAATGCCAGAAAAAAAAGCAATCGAAAATTGACATTGATTTACAATGAAATAGAGTGCATCAAAAAATGCTAATTTAAATTTGAAATTTACCTGTCAGAACAACATTGTATTAAAAACATCACAATTACTTAAAAATTCACGTTGAAAGGGCCAAAGAGGCTATAAAAAATTGGGGGGAAAACTAACTTCCAATAACGTGAAAAGACAATTATATTGTCATGAAATGAAAGTATCAAAAAGTGATTGCTATAATTTTAAATTCACATGTCATAATAGTAGCATTGTATTAAATATTTTTTTTTAACTTCTATTTTAAAATATAATAGTCAAATTTCTCTTTCACTTTTTCCTTTGAAGAAAAACTAAGGACTTATAAGCTCCTTAAACATAAAATAAGGACTTTTCAAAGCATTTAATTTATGCAAAGCACTTTTAAGTTGCGTACAAAATCTGTTATACTAATTTTAATTATATAACAGAACAAATGTAACTTAAATTATTAGTATCATATATATATATACACACACAGAGTGAGATATTAAATTCATTTTTTAATTAGAGTTCCAAAATAAGAAATAATGAAACATGTTATGCTAATTTAATAAAAAATCAAAAACAAAAAATATGATAATATAATAATTATAAGAGATTACCTGAACAGAGCCTGGCTTTGGCTTTAGACTCTTTAGTTCCATCGGAAAGTGCGCGGAATTTTACAAACTGGCTAGATAGTTGAAGAGCTTGATTAGCTAAATGATGACAAAAACATACTCTAAGTATGAAACCAATGATATTTAAAATATAGATTATTTTAACTTAAAAACCACTAAGTTTAAAAAAAGAAAGAACTATGCACAAGAATGGCAGATCTGCAATACACAAATCACTACTACTCAATCAAATTATCAGAACATAAGTGCTAGTTTTAATATTGAGGATAAAATATTTTATTTTGAAACTCACAAGAGCTACTATAATAAGTAGTTTTTATATAGAGTGTAAAGTCGCGTATCCGGAATCGGTGGGACTTCCAGAAGTCCGTATAATAGATTTTTCCGTATAATACACCCCCAAGGTAAACAAAGCTTAAAATGATTTAATAAACGATCTGAATCTAAGAAGCAAAAAATAAATAAACACTATTTTTAAGGGGAATAATGTTTTAGCATTAAAATATCTAATCAATCAAATATAAAATATTAGAAAAAAAATATTATTACTGAAAATATGGAAAACGAAAAAAAATTAACAGTTACAAAAATATTAATCCGCCATTTTGAACTAGAATGATTCAAGCAGGTAGGGGAAATTCTGGAACAAAGCTTAAAATGATCTAAATCTAAGAAGCAAAAAATAAATAAACATTATTTTTAAGGGGAATAATGTTTTAGTATTAGAATATCTAATCAATAAAATATGAAATATTAGAAAAAAAATATTATTGCTGAAAAATATAGAAAACTAAAAAAAATTGACATATGAAAATAATAATCCGCCATTTTTAACTAGAATGATTCAAGCAAGAAAGGGAAATTCCCGTCATTCATTAAGGTGGGTAGATGGAGGAGAAAAATTCATTTCCTTCTTATTTGTGAAAGAAAATAAGTGTAAAGAGGAGATCATTTAAGTTGAGGGTGGGGAAGAAACAAATTATTGTTTTCTCTCCAATCATTGGCTATCAATCAAGCATAAAGGCGGGACACGCGGATCGGGTTCTCTTTATTTTTTCTTTTATGACTGAAAGAAACTGCTAAAGAAAGAATGTTACCCCCTTTTCCCCCCGCCTCCTAAATATTTCATGGTATGGGGAGAACGAATGTTTTGTTTCTCAAGGACGTGTATCCTTTTAGACCTATTCAAATTTTCCATTCTGACTCCCCCTCCACCTTAACGCTTGCCCCGTTTACCCTTTTCCAAAGTATTTCTTCTTTCAATAAAAAGGTTCCAGGAAATGCCTCTTTTACTAGCCACCTGCATGGGAAAGGGGGGGAGGGGACTCAGTTGCGGTCTTTTGAAAACAAATCTCCCTCTTCTTCCTACATTCCAAGGGAGGAGCGTCACTAACGGTCACTCAATGGTCTTGGTAGATCTTCACTTCCCCTTTCTGGAACCCTACCATGAGCTCCATGGAATGAAATTCCATCTGGGAATGGCATCACGTTCCAATGGGAATTATTTTTCCCCACCACGAACACCTTGGAAAGAGTTTCTTGGCTGGAATTGGAATCGGTTTCATTCCAACCAGTCTCCGGCACCTGGAATCGTCGTTCCAAGGAGGGAATTTAACTACAAGGAGGGAATGATGAATTTTTAAGGACTAAATATGATATTTCGTCGATGAATGTCTTAATTTTTTTTTATTTCATAAGAGAAGATAACAAAATTTCTAAAAGATAAACGTGCCCGAGCCATTTTCAAGATGATAATTAAAAGAGAAATGTTTTGTTTCATTAGTATGTGTGAACGAAAAGATACTTTCAGAGTTAACTAAGAAATTACGGCAAACTAAAAATAATTATGCTCTCATATGATAATTGTTACTATTTCTATGTTATTATTACGGGATATATTACTTGGCCAATA